TGCTTAATTTATTAGCGTAAAGCCACCCACGGCCTACAAATAATTTAATTGCACCCAATTAGATACTTCGTATGAAGAATGGAATATTATACTAAATCTATGAGCCTCTCGAAATGAAAAACGCCCTCGTACATAACTCGCATTAATGTACTATTAAAAGCACCTGTTTCACTCAAACTCAGATGGAGTGTTCGACCAAAACAAGTGTCTGAATGTAGATGATCCTGCTGATTTAGCTAGAACGTGTTTAAACGGCAATTAGGGTTGCATTTACTATTGTGTGAATAAAAATGGTCATCCTAAGCCTAATCATCGTCGCTACCTATGCAATTCCGGTGGGCTTTGGAAAAGGAAATCAATCAAAACAGCTACAAGTTCGCGTGGAATGGGATACCGAAAAAACTGTTATTTCTGTCTGTTATTCCATGTACATTCCGTGCTTTGTATTCACCACCATCTTGTACTATCCGAGCCGTGTAAATGTAATGGGCAATTAACGAAATTAAATTCTATTAGCACAAAAGAAAAAATGCGCCGGTGAAAGAGGAACGTGTAATTAAATTACTCCATAAATTACGCTAATTACATTTCGATATTCGTAAATTTTTTTTCACTTTAACAAAGTGGAGTTCTGAGAAAACAATTAGGTTTTTTAATCATTTTTTTCCTTTCGAAAAGTTATTTCTACTAAAACAAAGTTCCCAAATGTCAAAAAAGTTTCCCTCGGGACACACAGCTGTGTGCAGTCTGTTCAAGGTTCAACCGCAGTATTGATGCTATTATGGGAGATGTAAGGTACCAGAATCTAATAAGAGTTTGATTTTGTATCCTACAACTTTCACTCCAATGTATTGTTTTTCATCACCTTCCGTATGCGAAAATATAGTTGATGTAATATTTCTATTTCCTACTATGCTTTTGATTAAAGTTCAATGATTGAATTCAGTAGCACCCTTGGCCGTTTCCCGAACACGAGAGCAATCACGTAAAGTAACGTTTGGTTTCCCTCACGTATAATAGTGGATACATTTGGGTTGAGCACAATGATTTTGCAACGAGCCCAGAATTTTGGCAGTTCGAATCAGGCTTGCGGAAGTTGACTTTCCCCCCATTAATACCGTCGTTTTATATATCTGTGGTGAACATACACAGGTTGCTGTGCGAGAAACGACTCTCTGGTGTCTGTGGTGCTCAACCGGGGCTCAGCGTTGATCGGGTGGGTGGTGGTTTGCATCGCTTCATACGATATCGCACGTCTTCATTGGACTTCCACAAACTGGTTAAGTATGAGATGCTGTGTACGGTATATAGTGCGAGTTGAAGCTAAAGATCCCTTAATTAACATATTCATAAATTTGTATAGCTTTCACAGCAATGGCCATTCGTTATCTGCCCTTTTCGCGGTCCCTCCAAAAGATTATCTCGGGAATGTGATCTATTACATCTTGTACGACATAGTAACAAAAATAGCCTAATCGTAGACAACGCACCATACAATACTATACCTGTATAGTATGGCCCGTAAGTTACTTATGGGCAAATTTAACATGTGACAATGTGTCAAGTCTAGAGATTTTGGGTATAAGCCAAAATATTTTGTTTTCACCACGAAGCTATAGCTGCTGAATGCTCCACGACATGTAGTTAATACGGAGCCCCCCGTATACTGTAATGCTCTAGGATGCGGAAGGTGTGGCGTCCACTCGCTCTTGAGACGTCTCTTCGTCAACCGAAAATGACTTCTACAGTAGATCGTGTACTGTAGATACCAAAGCTTTGGAAAATGATTGGAGGGCTGCTAACCCGTTTTTGTACAAAATGTAACTCGTTCGCAAACTGCAGCGGGTTCAAGAGCTGCGAAGTTCGATGTTGAATGCTGCTTAACGGTAAATGCTGAATGTATAAAAAGATTGCATTTATAAACAGCTTGCTGCGAATGTAACTCGAGATTTGTCAATTACACATTTGGACAGGGATGAACCTTATAACTTACCTCTTGCTAAGCGGTGATGATAATTTAAATACTTCCTCGGTGAGTCCATCTACGTAATTTTCAGTTATATTTTACACACGCCGCGTTAAGCTACAACCTTACAACGATTTTGCATTGATGTTTATGAAAGTAAAACTAAAAAAATGCAAAGTGTACTAAAGTTCTATATTCACCAGAAAATCCTGTCTACGCGAATAACAAGCACTGAATCGCTATTATTTGATATACATAGTATTTACCCAAGCCCCGAATATAACGGTTGTCATGATTAATAAAATGGTATGACATACAATGGAAAGCTTTTGAGGGCAAGGTACGTAATTTACAAGTTAAACATGCACCTACTCATAAATAGTGAAGAGAGTGGTTAGAGTTCATCTCGCTCTATATCGCTCACAAATTTCCTAGCACTGAATAAATTACACCGACCATTAAGGCTGGTTTTCTTTGTTCTGTGCACAATGCCCTAGCATCTCATGGCACATTCCAGGCACGTGCAGGGTGTACAACTGTGAATATACCAAACTTTGCATTGCAAGAAATCTTTTGTGCATATTAAACCCCTTCAAGTTATTTCTCAGCCATATTGATAACAAACGCCTCTGTAAATTGTAGGTAAATTGCCGTAATTTAACAACACGCGTCGTTAGAGCTCCTACTATCTTGTCGTCTAGTAGGTCATTAAGCCGTTCCTCAAGGTATGGGGTGGTTGACCTAGGGTGATGGTTAATTTGTTAAGGGAGTGAAGTGAATTTAAATAAAATTTTATTTTATAAAGTGGTTATCTAATTTTTGCAATATAGCAACAACTGAACCGTTAAATTCAAATATTTTCGACAGTAGAGAGGAAAGTTCACTAGCGGACCCAAAGAACTTAGAACCGTCTATCTCTCACTTACCCGCTTCCGAATGGGACATAAACTTGGTTTCGCCGGCTTCGCCGCCTCACCTCACACAGTTTTACTAAATCCAAAACCTTCGCTGGCATACGCCCACCCATTCCCCAACGTTTCATCGCAATCGGATGAACAGTCCAGGCAGAGACAAACGAACCCGTATTTTTTCGATGAAGGTGGTCTAACGGTAACGGTGAATTCAAATTGCTATTGCCACGTGATAGAGACTTTTCTCCAACCTATGTGAAACAATTTAATGTGGTTCCAACAGAATGGACGTTCTGTAAAAATGTTGAGGGCGTTGTTTCCTGAAGTTTCAGAACTTTCAAGCACCTTCGACTTTGTATGCTGATAAAATGTTTTTGCTCTGTCTGGTGTTCTGTCAGTGCCTGTTCCTCAGATGTACGTAGCTTCGCATAATGCTATCATTATGTTCAATTCTACGAAGCGAATGCTGGAGCAGTACTCTTCCCCCTCAGCATCTTAACACCGTTGCTTCCATTCCAATTCCTAACTTGACCCATCCTTACATTCCCGTTATCTGGTTGAAGAGGGTTAGGAAACCCTGAGCAGCCCGCCTCCGATATCCCTCAAGGGTGTCGCAGAAATGGAACCCGTTGCCATTTACTCGAAAAGGGATTTGTATCGATTATTATATATTTTTTATCTCTTTCTAATGCAGTGGTAGATATATTTCTTTAGGGCTTTGTCTTTTCTCTTCATTTTCTGCTCCTTTTTTCATTTTTGGTCCTTCTTTGCTTTTGTAATCTGAATATTTCGATCTACATCGACCCCTATGATAAATACTGGATAGCATCGGATTTTTACATGGAACCGCCATTTTGAGTGTCGAGTTAGAAGACATCACGTGATATATTGCTCCACTAAACCTTTGAATATGAATTTTATATTCAAAGACTAAACTACATACAACTATAATACCTGAAGACTTGAATTTCGGTTACGGATAATGTAACTGTTTTATCTACTGATTACGTTTGGGAGAATATTGCTATTGCGAATTACTCCATAAGTTACGACCTTCAACACCGATATCTCCGATTTTATTTGCGTTACTTTTGTCGTTATGATGATGAAAATTTGATCGTGTTATATTAGTATTATCTTATATTTTAAATCCTTTGGATCACTTTTGTTGTATAGAAATTTAGTTATTTTTGATTTGTAACATTGTTTCTTGAATCAACGCTAACGATTAGTTTTGCACATTCCCGAC